CGGGGGGGGACCGGGGGGAACCGGGGACCCCGGGGGTGCGCGGGTGGGTGCGGGCGGGCACCGGCGCTGCCTCCCCGACCCCCCATCCCCGGCAGTCCCGGGGGAAGGGAGGTGGCCGGGCTGGGGGGCTGCCGGGGGTGGTTCTTGAGGGGCATCAACGCTGGCGAGTGTGGGCCTGGGGCCGGTACCTCCGCGTCCGGGCAGCTCCCGGGGTGGGTCTGGCTTGTGTTAGTCCGGCACGGGGTAAAAAGAGGGAAAACTTAGAGCTTTTACTTTTAAAATTTGTAATATTAATGAATCACAGGACCCATCCCATTCCCAACTCCATCCCCATCCTCATCCCATCCTCATTCCCAACTCCATCCCCATTCCCAACTCCATCCCCATCCCCATCTCCATCCCATTCCCATCCCATCCCCATTCCCATTCCCATTCCCATTCCCATTCCCATTCCCATCTCCATCCCCGCCCCGCCGCGGCCCCGCCCCTGCGCATGACTCAGCACGCCCCGCGGCCTCCCATTGGCCGCCCGCCTAGAACGCGTCGCAGTCCCTGCTTTCCCTGCGGATAACTGCGTTGTCCCTGGACACAAACTCACTGCAGAACCTGGGTGTGCTCTTCTGCGAGTGCTCTCACAGCCGGTACCTCTGCCCCATGAAATAATCTCTGGTTTTTTTTATTCTCCTCCCAGATTTCCTTCCTCTGAAATGCGACGCCTGTGAAGAAATCTTCTGCAAGGACCACATCCGTTACGGTGACCACGCGTGTGGCTCTGCCTACAAGAAGGTAAGTTCCTGCCCTGGGGCGAGCGATTGGGGCTGTGGAATTGCTAAATCACAGGTAGAGGCTGCTCTGAGACTTGGCCTGTGGTGGGAGAACCGCAAGGTGCAAGTCCATGACACGGCTGAATTTCAGGTTATAGAAACAAACCATCCCAGAGGTCAGTGCTGCACCAGCCTCGTTTCTTTCACTTACACCACATCTCCCCACAGAGCAGCGCTTTGTCTCTTAAATAAGGCATTCTGGCCTAAAACGTTCTGCTGCCTCAGTCCTTTGAGCTCAAGGACAGCAAACGCGCAACTAAGAAGAAATAAATAGAATAAGTGGGGCCAGACTTTGATCTCTGGCCTGTCCTTGGGCTTTGAATATTCCAAAGGTGTAATTCCAGAAAGCCTAGAAGTCATTCTATCAAATATGTTGTTACGAATGCGTTTGGCAAAGCGTGCCTGGCTGGTTTTTTGGATCACAATTTGCAGTTCCCTTTGTGAAGCGTGGCTTTCAGAGCGTTAGTAAATGGGTAGGAGATAAAGCACTTGTGAGTACAATTCTGTCACTGAAGGGGAAGGACAGAGGAATAATCAGGTGTGACTTGTACCCTGTGTTGTGTGTCCCTAGAACGTGCAGGTGCCGGTGTGTCCGCTCTGTAACACACCCATCCCGGTGCAGAGGGGGGAGATCCCCGACGTGGTGGTGGGAGCCCACATGGATAAGGACTGCAGCTACAACCCTGCGCAGCAAAAGCAGAGGGTAAGGAAACTGCTGTTGAAATCTAAACTGCCTGCCTAACGCCCCTAACTTGGCTCTTCTGACAGCAGAATGTGGAGAAACTTGCTCCGTTTCGTCTTAATTCTGATGAAATAATTCTTGAGCATTCGTGCTTCAGTGCTGTCGTTGCCTGGGAAGCTGGTTGTGGAAAGCAGGGAAGCGTTGCTGACTTTGTGTCCTCTGTTGTTTAGATCTTCACAAACAAGTGCTTGAAGCCAGGCTGCAAAAGGAAAGAGATGATGAAGGTGGTTTGTGACCAGTGTGGTGGCAACTTCTGCATAAAACACCGGCACCCTCTGGATCACGGCTGCAGGGGGAGCGGCCGTCCCGTCTCCAAGGCAGGGTAAGCTGTGTTTGTGGCACCTGGAGCTCCAGATTCCAGAGCTGCTGTCGGGGACTGGTGTGGAGCTCAGGCAAATAGGGAATTCTGTAAGCTACTGGTCATGTCAATAAACCAGCTGCTACTTTATCTTTGTATTTTGGGCCTAATTTCTGAAAATCCGTGAGCCAAGGTAAAAGCTTCTTGTCAAATGCCTTCCTACAATTCTTCCAAGTTTACTTATCTTGATAGCGCGACTCTCGGTGTCTCCTAAATTGCAAGGACTCCTTGGGGTCTGGATTTAAATACTACAATTCTAAAGTTGCTTTTTTTTCCCAGCACTTTGAAGTAACAAAGAACAAAACCAATACCTTTCCAAGAAAAGTTTAACCTTAGTTTTTATTAAAACCTGTCTCTTGCAGGCAGAGGTGCCTTCCTTGTTCTGTGCAGTGGGACTGTAGGGCTTGTGTGACAGATGCAGATGGTTAAACTGGGGAGAGGAGGGAACTGCTGTGGTGTGCACAGGAGGTGCTGAGCCTGCTTGTGTCTCTCCTAGGTACGCCGCTCTGATGAGAGCCTCTGAGGGAGCCATTGGGGTGCCATCTAACGGGAGCCTTCAGCACAACAGGTACAGAGAAAAGGAGGAAAGACAAACAGGAGTGTTTAAAAATAGTAGTCTTGTGTCAACAGGGCGTAGGAGTGCTGCTGTCACACCAGTAACCGCCCCAGAGCTGGGAGGTGACCTGTGATCAGTGTAGGCAACGTGGCGGAGGGGCTCTGACAGCACCAGGAAATCTTTACTTCACCTTCCTGCAGTCATTAAAATAGTTATATAGACACGAGCATTAGGACATCAAACTGTGGTAACAGCAGGGTGGTCTCCCACCTGTCCGGAAGTTCTAGGAAAATAGTGTGTGCTCAGACTGGTGAGGAAAGTGTAGCAAATGTCTGGATTAAAATAAATGGCCCAAGCCCTTCTCTGCCATGGAAAAAACTTACGTGGTCATGTAGCTCTTACAGTGTGTTCTTGTGTTTTTCAGATGCAGATAGTAGAGGCTCTTCACAGCTGGATCAGATCAGATCTCTCTCTACTTCAAAGCTAATCTTGTCTGTAGGTCTTCAAAATTTTCTAACTTATTTCTAACTTATTTTTGTATCATAACGTTTTATGCATTCAATAAACTCTGACCCTTTCCGAGCCAACTTTATCTGTTCCTATATTTGGAATAAGAGCTGTCATGTTATTAAATACTTGGTGGAGGAAACTGGGGAAGGGTGGTAGGACGAAGACTAAAATTAGTATGAAAAACAGCCAGCTTTGCCTAGGTCATGCTAAGTCTGAGCTATGAGTTCCTGAAGATGAAAGTCTGAAATACAAGCTACTGTTGTCATATGTCCCAACCCTTTTGGAAATGAAGGGGCACGCAGTGCGACGTTCTGCTTGACAAACAGCATACATCACCCTGCCGCCGGCTTCGTACAAGATGCCTCTTGGTTTCTGAATGTCACTGGGAGTAGTTGATTTATACAGCTGTAGCTGGTTTTTCTAAGCCCTCCCTTAGCAATTCACTGAAGGCTAGTGCTCACACAGGCATGCACAGCATAATTCTTCAGAATTTATTGCCCCTTAGATAGAAACCTAGATTTGCATGGGTATTTTTTTTGCAGTTGGGGTAAAAAGGAGGCCAGAGAAAGTAACATTTAACTGTTTTGTGTCCCATGTAATGAAAATGAGGCCAAAATTCAGCATTGTCCAGGGAGGCTGCTCTTGCTGTCTTCCCAAAAAGCTGAAACAAGTGAAGATAAAACAGCTATCCATCCGGTGTCTTGATCAGCTGTCTTGGCTCTTTAAAACTGCACGAACATCCAGCTGCTTCGCTTGAGGCCTGAAATATTGGAGGTTGATGAAATGGAAATGCGCTATTAATGAACAATGCTAATTCCCCAGCTGGGATCTAAGTAGACCTCTCATCCAGCTAATTGTGAGAAAAATGCCAAGGCTTCCCGGCGGTGTCAGGGGGTCGAGACCTCAATTTCATGTGTCGTTGGAGCCATTCCTCTGCAGGCTGGGGCTGGAGTGCTGGCTTAGGACTAACTGAAGGGTAATTGCTGTCCCTGGAATCACCTGCAGCTACGAGTGCCCAGCGCTGGGGTGGGAGGATGAGCAGTTTGTGTAGCAGAGAATGCTCTGTTTCTTGACCTGGGAAAAAAAAAAAATCATCTTTGATAATACTGTATGAGGTGTGAGCGTAAGCACAGTTAAAGCATGTGCTTTGTACAGCCTTAAAGGGTACTGCAGTTGTGCAAAGACTGTTGTGTGCCTCTTGTTTCTCTCTGAAGAGGCTTAATCCTCAGAGTACAAATGCTGCCTGAAGAGGAAATGTGGATTTACAGTCCTTCACCAGGATCGGGTGTAAACAATCAACATACTGACTTGGGGGGCTTTTATCAGAAAGGGCAGAGAGAATTAATTTCTGGCCAACACAGCACAAAATATCCGTGCTATCCCATATCTGTGCTTGGCCCAAACTGGTTTCTTCTCATCCAAGAGAAATTTTTTGCAAATAATCAAATCCATATGGAAGGCTGTAGTTGGCCAAACGGACTATGTAAAGTAGGGATGAGTTACCACTGCTGATCCCATATGCTCTGATTTTACGCAATTGTGTGGTCAAAATTGGGATTTGACAGTGTCTGTAATACTGTCTTCAACCACAGGATGTCACAATAGGATACGTGATAAAGCAATCATTATTTTAGGAAGTCTAAACATAGAAAACATGCTTTCCCTGCTCACATTGGAAGAAAAGCCTAAATTACAACTCCGATTTTAGAGGCCACCACCTACTGATTATCCTGTGTGCTCCAACGCTGTAACTCAGCCCTGGTGCGTTGCTGCAGTACTAGGACTTTTGTAATTTTTCTGTATGAAATATAACTGGCCACACGTTCCCAAATCATAGAATTGTCCAGGTTGGAAGGCACCTTTCAGATCATCGAGTCCAACCATCAACCCAACTCTGATAAAAACCATCACTAAACCTTGTTACTAAGCACTGTGTCAACCTGTCTTCAATCCCTCCAGGGATGGTGCCTCAACCCCTTCCCTGGGCAGCCCATTCCAAGGCTTAATCACCCTTTCGGTGTAAACATTTTTCCTCTGCCCATCCCAACAGCAATGGGTGAGAGAAAGGACTGGCATTGATGGTGTGAGGAGGAAGAGCAGAAGGTGTGACCCTGGTGGGGACAGGAGAAGAGGAAGCAAAGCTGTGAGGGTCACCTCTTCCCGTCGGTGTGTACAACGGCACAGGGAGCTGTTGGCACCAGCGTCTGCTGCCCCAGCTGGCATCTCAGCTGCTCCTGGGATCAAAGCAAATGGAAAATAAAACCCCTGTTTCAGGTTGTCAGGAGAAGAAATGCTCCAGCTACGCGTTTGTTTTTGGTAAATATTCTTGCCCTTAAGTTACCAAGGGGAAATGGAAATGTTTGTGCACGTGGTATTTATAGAAAATGAAAACATGGAAACCAATTTGTCCCCTGGAAACCTCATCCTCGGAGATGTTTTCTCTCCCCCTCAAACCACAGCATCCACCCCTTACCCAGCGCGTTCCCTCCCACCCTATCGGGCAGCAAACAGCATGGAGCCTGTAGGATCTGCTGGCTGGAAGGGATCCCGGCCCTTCTCCAGAGATCCACGTCTCTGAGGGGATCCCAAGGGGAGAGGCAGGGGGGCCAGCAGCACCCGGCTTGTGTGGGGAGCAGCGGGGCTGGGGTCCCACTGGGGAGCTGTGTGGGGAGCGAGGGGGAGCTGCCAGGAGCTGGAGGGCCCTGTCAGGGTGTGGGTGGATCTCCATCAGGGCACTGAGGGATCCCTGTCAGAACCTGGGGGGCCCTGTCGGGGTGCTGGGGGGGGGTCCCTGTCAGGGTGAGGGGGGATCCCTGTCAGGGTGGGGGTGGATCCCTGTCAGACCTGGGTGGATCCCCGTCCGGGTGAGGATGGATCCCTGTCAGACCCGGGTGGATCCCTGTCATGGCGCGGTGGATCCTTGTCAGGCGTCACCCAGGCAACGGGGGGGGGCGGGACATCCTCCGTAGCCCCGCCCCTACGCAGGAGGCAGGGCCTGATTCCGTGGCGGACCTCGGCGCGAGCAGATGACGTCAGCGCGCCTCCACATGCCGGCCGGACACTCCGCCGCACGCGTGGTCCAGGTGGGCGCTTTAAGCCCCAGCGTGACTTCCTATTGGTCGCTCGGATGATTGGCATGTTAAAAACCAATCAGACGCCTCCGCTCTCTCCTTGTCGCCAATAAGAAGGAGGGGGCGGGCAGCGGCGCCAAGCGTGGGGCTCGGTTAAATGTGCAGAGGCCGCCGGAGGTGTGTGCGGGGACGGGGGTGCGGGTCCCGGGGGGCACCCACCGGCCGCGGGGGGTCGAGGCGGCGGTGACCAGAGGGGTCGCTCTATCCCGGTGCAGCCCTCGGTCCGGTCCGCGGGTGGGAGCGGGGCGCCGGGCCCGCGGGTGGCGGTGGGGCCGGGGCGAACGGGGATTTCCCGTGAGGGGGGGGCTCCGGCGGCCGCCCCCGGGAAGGTGCTGCTCGCCTTTCAAAGCTGGCTCTGCAGCGAAGGAGACGCGACCCCCGGGGCCCCGCGTGGGGCCCGGCCCGGCGGGTACCGGGACTCACTCGGGGCGTGGGGGTGTCCCGTCTCTCGGAGCGCGTTTGGGGGTTAAATTGCGGTGATTTGGGCAACTGCTGGGTCTGTGCCCCCACAGAGGGCGGGGGCACCCGGTGGAAGTCACTGAAATCAAATTTTCCCTCGGAGAAATAAATCACAGTGACCACTAGGCCTGGCTCCGGGTCCCGGCCTCCTGCAGCCCCTGCTCGCCTTCCCCCTGCGTCAGTGTGGAATGAAAAGACAAAACTCGTGAGATATAGTTCTTTGAGCCCAGTTTTTCCACATTCTATATGAGTGTGGGCCCTGAAAGGGTTGTGAAGCCTTGGAAGAGGCTGCCCAGGGCAGTGGTGGAGTCACCATCCCTGGAGGTGTTTAAAAGCTGGGTAGACATGGGTCAGTGGTGGTTCGGGCAGTGTTGTGTTGATGGTTAGACTCAATGATCTGAAAGGTCCCTTCCCACTTAGATGATTCTATGCAAATAGAAAGACTCACACTATAAACACCTGATGGTTTAAAACTACCTGTTTGGGAATCCAGTAGGCTTGCTTTTTGCTTGTGGGTGTGTGTGTATGCACACATACATGTTAATGTGATTACTAATAGTCACATTTATATATTTTGAGAGGAGAGAGGCCTGATTTGGTGTTATCTGAGGTAGAGGATTGATCCAACAGTTCCACGTGGGGTGTTACAACCTGCAGAAAGCACAGCATGGGTTATGCCTTTTGGTATTTTAGTAGTGACAAATAATTCTCATCCCAAACTGTCTGTATACAAGCTTGACATTTAATAAAAAAAAAAAAATTCAATTGCAGTCTGGTGGTTTCTGTTACAGAACACTTCTGTTTGAGAATGCCAAAAATGAATGTGGAAAAAAAAGAAAAGAAGGCAGAAGAAAGAAAAAAGCAAAAGCAACAGCAACATGTGGCCCAAAAGGGAGAGCTGGGGTTGGAAACTGAACCGAAGAAAAAGAAACAAAACCTGCAGGTAAGTTCTCCCGGTTTTGACTGTTCAGTTCAATAAAACGTGGATATATTGTTACTTGTGATGTGAGGGGTTTCGAGGCTCAGTCTGAATCTGAACGGGCTACTTGATTCAGCTGCAGTGATTCCTTGGATGCGATATACTTGAAGTGGAAGTTAAGAGGAGAAGATAAATCAAGCCAAATCTGGGTAGGATTGTGGCCGTGGGAGTACGTGATCTTGCTTTGTTTTGGACGCCTGGGTGAAAGACAGAGAAACGGGCGAGAGAATGTGGGTGAAAGGTGAAGCAAATGGCTTTAAGCAGACTGTCATACGGCAGTACAGGCGCAGCCGAAGTCTTCATGTGATCCTGAAAGATGTCTTCCTGGAAATCTTGATTTTTGGACAGAATGTCAAGTGGCCTTTCTTGGAAATCCTCTTGATTTTTGGACAGAATGTCAAGTGGCCAGAAGGTGTCAGCAGTCTCTTTGTATTAGTGAATGTCTTATGAGTTAATTTAATGAGAATGAAATTAGCGATACTGAGATGTTATTTACGCGGAAAC